GGGGTCCTGGGAGACCTGGGGGGAGGGCAGGGGGGAAGCTCCGCCCCTCGCCCAGCCACGCCCCCACCCCAGCGAAATGCAATGCGGGCCCTGGTCTACCAGACGTCTGCGTTTTTAAAGAATTTTTTTTGCGAGCGCTCCCAAATTCGGAAATGTTGGCTTACATATTAATGACATCCTGTATCGGCCACACAAACACGTCCGATCGCCAAGTTGGCTTCTGGGCAACTGGTTTGCAACCTCTTGACTACGCATTTTCTGTTTCCTGTCAGTTCGAAAGTTCAGTGATTTTATAAACTCCGGCCAGCCGTCCCCTCAGTTAACTGGAAATGAGTCACGTGGTTTATTTTGAGAAAGAATAAACACATATATATGTCTCAAAAGCTGATTTCAGGGATTTAATCCTAGAAAATGCTGTCCGCGGTGTCCCAGCCTGGCATTTCTCTCCATTTAGGTAGGGGCCGTGGGCTCGGTGTTGTTAAGACGTGCCACAACCTGGGTGAACCTTGAAAACATGGCTGGGAACAGAAGAAGCCAGACACAAAAGGTCATGTGTTGTCGGATTCCATTTACATGAACTGTCCAGAACAGGCAACTTCATTGAGACAGAAAATACATGAGTGGCTGCCAGTGGCTGAGGGATATGGGGGTTGAAATAACTGCTCATGGGGATGGAGTTTCTTTCTGGGTTGACGAAAATGTGCTGGAATTTGATGGTGGTGATGGTTATATGACCTTGTGACTATACTAGAAACCACTGAACAGTGCACGTTAAAATGGTGAATGTATGGGGTGCCTGGGCGCCTCAGGTTGGTTGAAAGCGCGTCTGACCCTTGGTTTTGGCTCAGGTCATGATCCCAGGGTTGTGGGATTGAGCCCCACCTTGGGTTCCACGCCGAGCTGGGAGCCTGCCTAGGATTCTCCTTCTCCCTCTGATCCCTCCCCCGACTTGCACGCGCGCGTGCTCTCTCTCTGAAATAAAAATTAAAAATAATAAAATGGTGAAGGCTGTGGCATGTGAATTATATCCCAGTTAAAGAATATATTGTTCAAGTGTTGATTCTCCTCACACTGATCTGTAGGTTCTGCGCAATCCCAGTCAAACGCTCAGCAGGCTTTTTGGGCAGAAACTTGACAAACCGATCCCAAAATTCAAATGGAAATGGGATGGACGTAGAATCGCCCAAACAACTTTGCAAAGGAAGAGCGAAAGAGGAGGTCTCATAGCATCTGGTTTCAAGGCTTATAAAGCAACAGTAATCCAGGTAATGTGGAACGTAATTGTAACGACAAACAAATAGATCGATGGCACAGAACGGAGAGCCCAGAAATAGACCCACACAAATATGGACAACGGATTTTCAATGCAAGTTCAAAGGCGATTCCGTGGAAAAGGGGTATTCATTTTTTTTTTAAGTTTATTTATTTATTTTGAGAGAGAGAGAGGAGAGGAAGAATCCCAAGCAGACTCCGTGCTGCCAGCGTGAGCCTGACTCGGGGCTCGCGCTCACGACCCTGGGATCAGGACCTGAGCCGAAATCAAGTCGGACGCTCAACCGACTGAACCGCCCAGGCGCCCCGGGAAAGAGGCACTCATTTCAATAAATGTTCCGAAATAACTGAATATCCCTATGCAAAAAAAAAAAAAAAAAAAAAAAAAAAAAAAAAAAAAAAAAAAAAAAAAAAATCAATCCATACCTTGTGTCATATAAACATATGAATCCAAAACAGATTTAAATGTAAAACTTAAAACAACTCCTAGATGACAAGACAGAAGAAAATCTTGTCGCCTTGGGTTAGGCAAGGATTTCAGATACGGCGCCAAAAGCATATCCATAAAAAAACAAGTTGATAAATCGGACTTAATCCAAATTGAAAAACAAAAACAAAAACAACCAGCTTCTGTTATTTTGAAAGATACTTTTACAAGCCTGAAGAAGAAAAGCCACAGGCCAGTAGAAAACATTTACAAATCATGCATCTGATAAAGGACTCGTATTCAAATACTGTATATAAAGAACTCTGAAAAGTTATTAGGACAACAACCCACTTAAGAATGGGTAAAATATTTGCGCCAAAAGATGCCTACTTTGTTTAATAAACATGTTTTTCCTTATTGGATGGCCAATAAACACATGAGCCAATGCTAAACTCACTAGTCACTGGGGGAATGCAAATTAAAACCACAATGTGATATTACTATACATCTGTTTGAGTGGCTAAAATTAAAAAGACCGACCATGCCAGGTGCTGGTAAAGATGTGGAACTCAAACACTGCTGGCCGGAATGTTAAAATAGTACAACCACTTTGGGAAAACAGTTTGGTACTTTTTTTTTTTTTTTTTT